TGCGAGGGAACACAACAAGTACTGCAAGGGAACACAACAAGTACTGCAAGGGAACACAAGAAGTAAACTAAAATAAATGTTTTTAAAAAGTACTGCAATGGAAGAACTATTTCAGGGGAACACAAAAATTCTGCTAAGGAAACAATAAAACTAAATTTCCTACAATAAAATGTAATTGATTTTATTCATTAAGATTTATCTTTTTTAATTTTGAATTTATATAAACTTTAGTAGATTTTGACCCTGTTGTTTGTGTCTGCGTGGAGTGAGACATCTCGCGCTGAACCCATCTTTGCGCTCCTTCCCTCCGGTCCGTTAGCAGCCGCTGTAGCTCCACTCTGCGTCCACACGGTGTTTAAAGTCGGAGGAAGCAGGAACCCAGAGGTCCGTTAACGCTTTTTAACCAGAACCTGCGCTGTGTTCTGGACAACGAGGGCAGAAAACCCGGAGGTCGCGGTTGTGGAAAGCCCGGGTGCCGGAGGCTGCCCACAGGCCGGAGAAGAAGAGGGGAAAGAGGGAAGATGGAGGCCCACGGTAAAGTTTGACTGCGTGGCTAAAATCACAGGATCCATTCAAACTGAGGAAGTTTTAACACGCAAACCAAAATATTAACTCTTAAATATTTTCATTTGTTACAACAGCTACAGATATAAATTGATGTCTTTATTTACAGACTGTGTTGACAGTTTTAAGCTCAGTAGTAAAAATTACTGTATTCCAGTTTCATGTGTAAGATTTTTTATTACTAATCAGCTCAAAGTTCCTCCTCTATAATTGAGCTAAAGGTCAAATCCACTGCAAAAATCAGTATTTACACTTTCTTGTATGTTTAATTATTATTTTTTAACTTTTCATACCATGTGCAGTCATTACACCCAGGTTTTATTCTAAAGGTTTATTATGCGTCAGCACATAATCTGAAACTTTACTCATTAGAAAGAGTTTAATCCAACCTTAGATGAACAATAATGCATTAGACTGGATGCATTTATGGTACAGAAGTATCATAAATGAGCTTTGAAATCCTAATACTTTGTGTACAGGCGCAGCTGAAAGTACTGTGAAGAAGTTCAGTTTTTTGTGTCAATCGCTTCAGAAAGTGACTCATAGATTCATTACAGACAGAGTGAAATGTTTGAAGCCTTTATTTCTTGTAATTTTGATTATTGTAACTTACAAAAAGTGAGAAAAAAAACTTCAAAGTCTCTGAAAATGAGAATATTGTGATGAGGTTTCATATAAACTCCTGGTGTCACAGCCTGATCAGCTGATGAACTCCTGGACGTGAGCTACAAATGTCTCGTTCCTCGACTCCAGACACTCCTGAACCAGAGACATCAGAAGCGTCTTACCTGCAGAGGAGACAAAGGACTGGACCGTCTCTCAGTGGTCCATCGTCCTCTTTTCACATGAAAGTAAACTTTCATGTCATTTCTGGAGTCTGGACGAAGAGCGGAGGTCCAGAATCCACGTTGTTGAAGTCCAGAGTGGAGTTTCCACAGTCAGGGATGGTTTGGTCCATGTCCTCTTCTTTCGGCTGCTCCTTCTTCAGGGCTCGCCACAGTGAACTGTCTCGTACGAAGGCTTGGAGATTGTTTTACGCCGGCTGTCCTTCCTGACTCAACCGCAGACCACCGAGCTGCCACAGCCCTCTGTGTGGAGCAGATGGTGGGTTTAAGGGCCTTGCTCAAGGGCCCAGCGTAGGGCAAATGAGGGTGTTTCACCTTTCCACCCACACTGAATTTAGTTGTTTTGTTGTAAAAAATAATCATAGAAATTACAAAAATAAAAGTTGAAATATTCCACTCTAATGAATCTTTATAATATTCAAGGATTTTTTTATTCTCGTACCGGCTCACATTTGCATGTTTGTGGTATGAAATTCGGACTCAGGTCCCAGATCAAGAAGATTAACAATTAATAAATAAATAAAGTAAAAAGAGTATAAATATATATATATATAATAAATAAAGTAAAAAAATGTAAGCTGAAGCTGAATTAAGTGCAGCTCGAGTTCAGCAGTCTGACGGCTCCAGGGAAGAAACGGTTTCTGAGCCTGGTGGTTTTTTGCTCTGAACGCTCCTCAGCCGCCTGCTTGAGGGGAGGGGCTGGAACAGACTGTGTGCAGGATGAGTGGAGTCCTTCATGATGCGGAGCGCCCTCCCCCTGCATCGTGAAGTGTAGAGGTCCGACGTGGTGGAAGGCTGCTCCCCAGAGTCTCCTGTGCAGCCTGAGTCTGAGTCACTTTCTGAAATGATTAATAAGTAAATTGATATTTTTCATGATATTCTAATTTTTTTACATGCGCCTGTGTATTTATGTTAATCTTACAGATAATGAGCTAAAGTTTGGTGTGATAGTAGCTGAGAGTGAGTGCTAACAGATGACGTTATTTTAAGTCCGTACTTTTACAAACATGTGTTAGTTAGAATGTCATGAAAATAGAAGATTGTTTTTTAATCGCAGCTAAAAGCAGTTGTGTTTTTGCCTGTGTGTGTTCGTTGGCCTGTTTTGCCTCTTGCATGAAAGGCGGCGGGTGATATGCATTCCTTCAAGGAATGCTAGTGGGTTAATGTTAAGATGTTTTTTTTTAATGTACAACTGTCTCGTTTGTGTGTGCAGTTTGTTAAAGTTTAGTTTTTCTGAGGGAACGTGACGCTCGGAACCATCTAGAACCATGACCGGGCAGCCGTTCAGTTTTTCAGCCAACAGGCGGATCGTCGCCGGCCTGCTGGTCAACCTCCTGTCCTCCATCTGCATCGTCTTCATCAACAAATGGATCTACGTCCACTACGGCTTCCCCAACATGACGCTGACCCTCGTGCACTTCGTGGTCACATGGCTGGGACTCTACGTTTGCCAGAAAATGGACGTTTTCTCTCCGAAGCGGCTCCCGCTGCGCAGGATCGCCTGGCTGGCGCTCAGCTTCTGCGGCTTCGTGGCCTTCACCAACCTGTCGCTGCAGAACAACTCCATCGGAACGTACCAGCTGGCTAAAGCCATGACCACGCCCGTCATCATCCTCATCCAGACCACCTACTACAAGAAGACCTTCTCCACCAAGATCAAGCTGACGCTGGTGAGGACAACAACAACACGTTGTGTTCGGGGTCGTGTTCTCGTGTTAAAAAGTTTGGCTCCTCCTTCCAGGTGCCCATAACTTTAGGGGTGATCCTGAACTCGTACTACGATGTCCGCTTCAACCTGTTGGGGACGGTGTTCGCTACGCTGGGAGTTCTGGTGACTTCACTTTACCAAGTGGTGCGTCATGAAACGAAACACTGACACAGACTCTCACTACAGCAGCTGCACTTCAGCTCCTTCAGACATTCAGGACATTACAGCTGTGACTTTTAGCTTTTGTAACTTATACATTTTTATAAATCAATGAAAAATGTTTGTGCTCGTTATCTGTTTCAGCAAACTTCATCATTTCAGCATTTAGCTACTGTTGTGCTCGTTTTGAGCTTTTAGGTTGTTTAGATTATTTTAGCTGTTAGCTTCTGATTCATTTAGCTTCAAGTCAGTCTGAGCTTTTTTAATGAGCTCTGTTTTTACAAAATATTATTTTTGATCCTGTCTTTCTGCTTGTCTCTACCTGTCTTTCTGCTTGTTTCTACCTGTCTGTCTGTCTGTTTGTCTTTGTCTGTCTGTGTGTTTGTTTCTACATGTCTGTCTGTTTGTCTCTCTCTGTTTGCCTGTTTGTTTCTACCTGTCTGTCTGTCTGTTTGTTTCTGTCTGTATGTTTGTCTCTACCTGTCTGTCTGTTTGTCTCTGTCTGTCTGTCTCTGTCTGTCTGTTTGTTTCTACCTGTCTGTCTGTTTGTCTCTGTCTGTCTGCCTGTCTGTTTGTTTCTACCCGTCTGTCTGTCCCTGTCTGTCTGTCTGTCTGTCTGTTTGTTTCTACCCGTCTGTCTGTCTTTGTCTGTCTGTCTGTCTGTCTGTTTGTTTCTACCCGTCTGTCTGTCTGTTTGTTTCTACCTGTCTGTCTCTCTGCCTGTCTGTCTCTCAGTGGGTGGGGGCCAAGCAGCATGAGCTCCAGGTGAACTCCATGCAACTTCTGTTCTATCAGGTACGTCTGAGTTGAACTCTAAAGGTCAAAGGTCACCGCTGTGAGCTTGTTTTATGATCGCTGCACGTTCTTCATCAAATCTGGTTCAAAGCGACTCGTCAGCTTCGTTTGTTGTTCAAGTCTCGTTTCATGACGACAGACTTTATTCTCAGTTTGATATTTTCTACTCACTAGAAATAGAACCCCCTTGAGAAGTTAAGGGTACGGCAAGCTCTTGTAACATATAATCACTCAGCACTCTAATTGCTATTCAGAGCTCAAGCACAGCGTTCCTCCTCGACAGAATAACGTTCTTACTAATGAGAGTTGATTTTTCTTTAAGTGTCCACAACTAAGATTCTGTTCTTAAACGGCGTTCTCAAGGACGTCTCCAAAATGTCTCGGAACTGTCTCCGTAGTTCTCAGTTCTTGTTCTGCAGGAAGTTTTGAAGTTTAAAAATCTGTGAAATTTGCTTCTGGAACTCGTTTAAACTTGTAAAAATTTTCATGAACTTGTGAGTCAAAAGTGCCAGAAATTAGAGGGGGTGGCAGATAAATGGGGCTGATTAGAGACAAAATATATATTTAATTGTGATCAAAGTGAGACTCACTAATTAACACGCTTTGGAAGTGTTGCACAAAAAAAAAAATTGCAGGCATGTTGCATGAATTTTGAAATTAATTCCCACTTTTCTTGTAATTCAAGTGATATTCAGCGAATGTTCTCACACTTTTTTATTGCAGATAGACCTGTCGCGATAAACAATAAATCAATTAATCAATTAATCACATGATAAATGAAAATGATCGACCTCCGTTTCATTTATCGGCTTTATTGCTGCTCACTCCCTCACTATCCATCCTTCGGTTCAGTCTTATACTGCCATCCAGTGGTTGAAAAAAGGTACTACATACAAAACAAATTGAACATTTCTTCTCAAATTTGACAATAATTACTAATTATTGTCAAATTTGAAACAATATTATCGTTTATCGCAATAATTTCTGAGACAATTAATCGCCCAGCAACGTTTGTTATCGTGACAGGCCTAGTTGTTGAGTTTAAAAATCCCTTAAACTAAACGTTATTTTGGCTCTGAATGTTTTGTAATGTGTAGAAAATGGATGAAGTCCTGGAACTGAACGTTAAACGTTGACCTTGTTGTATATTAAAAAAAAAAAAGTTAAATTTCTCTTTGGGATTAATGAAGTATTTTTGAATTTGAGTTGAATTATTGCAGTGAGACGTTTCCTTCCACTTGTTATGAATGTCTGCTGGAGTCTGGGTTTTAAATTATTATTTTAAACCGTTACAAGAATTTGACGCACAAGTTTGAACACGTTGTGGATTTTCTCTAATCCACAGAGATTAATAATCTCTCAGCGAGTCCAAGACTTGTTGTTGAGGCGCTCTTCTTGACAGAATTGAATTTATTTGGATGATTGGTTTCCAGGATCTTTCAGGCCACGAATCATCAGTCGGGCTGAGGCTTAACGTTAGCCTGCTCTGTCCCATCAGAACCCAGCTCTGATGTTTGGATCAGCCAAGTCCAGTGTTCAGCCGAGTCCAGTTTTCAGCCGAGTCCAGTTTCCAGCCGAGTCCAGTTTCCAGCCGAGTCCAGTGTTCAGCCGAGTCCAGTGTTCAGCCGAGTCCAGTGTTCAGCCGAGTCCAGTGTTCAGCCGGGTCCAGTGTTCAGCCGGGTCCAGTTTCCAGCCGAGTCCAGTGTTCAGCCGGGTCCAGTTTCCAGCCGAGTCCAGTTTCCAGCCGAGTCCAGTTTCCAGCCGAGTCCAGTTTTCAGCCGAGTCCAGTGTTCAGCGTCCTTTGGTTGATTTCCGTGGATCTCTGAGTTTCCACGCTAACATTAGCATGCCTGTGACGTTCTGCTTGTTGTTGCAGGCTCCTCTGTCGTCTGCCTTCCTCCTCGGCGTCATCCCCGTGTTTGAGCCGCTGACCGGAGACGGGGGCATTTTCGGACCCTGGTCTCTGCCTGCTCTGGTCAGACCCGACACGAAACGCGTGAAACCCACGAAACGACACGAGGTCTGATGGCTGTCGTCTCTTGTCCAGGTGACGGTGCTGTTCTCGGGCGTGGTGGCGTTCCTGGTCAACCTGTCCATCTACTGGATCATCGGGAACACCTCGGCTGTCACGTATCCTCCAGCAGCTCAGGAGCAGATGGGGTTAGGGGGGGTTTGGGGGGTTCTGCTCAATCCCATGTTATAGAATCTCTTAAAGGAATGCACATCACCCGCTGCCTCATCAGGCAGAGGACGTGTTGGAGAGTAGTCTCAGCTACCACCGCCTCAAATGCAACCTCGGTATCTAAAAATGATCGATTCCTTCGTGTCACTTCACCTGCTGACGCTGGGTGAAGTTTAAGGTGCTGAAAGCTTCTGTTCTGGTTCTGGGATCAGGTTTTGTCGCCTTGACTCGACTCTCAGCTACAACATGTTCGGCCACTTCAAGTTCTGCATCACGCTGGTCGGGGGGTACCTGCTGTTCCACGACCCGCTGTCCCTCAACCAGGTGATCCTCTCATCAGTTTGATTCTTCTCTACCTTCTTAAGCTGCCTCTGCAGGCTTTGTGCTGTTTAAGCTGTTCAGAAAGCCAAACCTTCGGCTCATTCAGGAGACGGGTGCTGTGACTTTTTTACTTTTATGCATTTTAACATATTTGACTTCTATTTTCAAATATTTGTGTTAATCTTCACTATTAGTTTTAGTTACTTCTCTGCAGCTTTCACTTTTTTAAGCTTTGCTTTTGCTACTTTTAACTTTCAGCTATTACTGAGCTAGTTTTAGCTTATAGCTACCATTTGTTATTTTAAGTTAAAAGTTAAACTTTTGTTACCTTTATAGTTAGCCTTTTGCTACTTTTAGGTTTTAGCTGATTTTCTCCTGCAGTCACCTTTTTTCTAACTTTGGCTACTTTTATTTTTAACTACCGTTTTGTTGCTTTTAGCTTCTTGCAAGCCTTCTGGTACTTTCAGCTTTATGTAACCATCTTAATTATCTAATCAGCTAATTTTACAATTCTGCTTGTATTTCCCTACTTGTAGTTTCTAGCTACTTTATTGAATTTTTTGTTGGATTTTAGCTATATTTTAGCTACTTTTAGCTAGTGTTTTGCTTTAGCTTGTATTCTGCTTAGTTTAGCGTCTAACTCAGTTTTAGCTTCTTCAGCTGATGTCAGCCGTTCATTAACTCTCAGCATCACACGGTGTCATAAATCAAAACATGATGGTTAAATTGTTGTTTTAAAAAAAAACTGTTGTTTCCTACTGAACTTCCTGATTGTGATTTCTGAACTTCCTGTTTCCAGTCAGGCGTTGTTTCCGCCTGAACTTCCTGTTTGTGATTTCTGAACTTCCTGTTTGTAATTTCTGAACTTCCTGTTTCCAGCCAGGTGTTGTTTCCTCCTGAACTTCCTGTTTATGATTTCTAAACTTCCTGTTTCAGGTCAGGTGTTGCTTCCTCTTGAATTTCCTGTTTGTGATTTCTGAACTTCCTGTTTCCGATCAGGCATTGTTTCCTCATGAATTTCCTATTTGTGATTTCTGAACTTCCTGCTTCCAGTCAGGAGTTGTTTCCTCATGGATTTCCTGTTTGTGATTTCTGAACTTCCTGCT